GCTACTGAGCTCAGATCCACCCCCATCAGCCCCTAGCTTAGGAGTCAAGAAGCCCACACTGGTGTCTGCTGCTTTCTGGACAGCGGTGACCTCTCCTGCACCGGGGAGCTCATTACCAGTCAGGGGCCCTGAGGCATCCTCTCCTGACAGTAGGTGAAGATGAAAGCAATAATGCGCTGGCTGTGCTGCAGCCCCTGGGTCACCCCTGGTTTTATTAAAGTCTGAAGGCTCCAATGTCCCTAATGAGGATAAAAGGCTGGTAAGACATGGGGGATCTCGGGCTGGAATCTCCCGAGAAAGGGCAGAGAGGACCTGGAGAGGGCAGTCACAGGACTGAGCGGAGGCCCAGCTTTCCAGAGAGGGAGAGAGGCTTCTAGGAGTTGCTGACTCTCTCTGTTAGCTTAGCTCCGTCTCCTATTTACTCTGAATTAACCTATTTATTTTCCTTTATCGAATAATCCAGTCCTCTGCTGCCTGTATGTGCAGGGGAGGGATATCCCCCTCGATCCACACAGCCAGAGCTGCCAACTCTCCATTAGGCCCAGTGAGGGCCAGTGACACCCCAGCAGAATCCCCCAGAACAGGGCTTTGGACCCCTGGTCCCTGCTTCCCCTCTGCCTCCAAGTCATAGTGGGATCTTGGGCCAGTTCCTTTGTCTTGTCTGGACCCATTGATGGAGCGTGGTAATAAAAAAAATAGCCAGGTGTGGTGGCACATGTCTCTAGTTCCAGCTGCTCAGGAGGCTGAGACAGAAGGATTGCCTGAGCCCCGGAGGTCGAGGCTGCGGTGAGCCATGATCATGCCACTGCACTCCAGCCTGGGTGACAGAGTGAGACTCCAACTCAAAAAAAAAAAAGAAAATGCTCAGTGGCTCAGCCTGTAATCCCAGCACTTTGGGAGGCTGAGGCGAGTGGATTGCCTGAGCCCATGGGTTCGAGACTAGCCCAGGCAACTTGGCGAGACCAGGTGTCTACAGTAAGTAAGAAATTAGCCAGTTGTGGTAGCGCGTGCCTATAGTTCCGGCTACTTGGAAACCTGAGGCAGAAGGATCGCCAGAACCCAGCAGGTCGATGCTGGGGTGGCTGCGAGTGTGCCACTGCACTCCAGCCTGGGCAATAGAGTGAGACTCCAACTCAAAAAAAAAAAATGGAGAGTGAAGTTTACTACTGAGTGCAGGGGCCACACCATGATACAAATGCAACACCTGCTCCCCGCCTCCCGCCCCCAGCTGCCGCGGTCCTATGAGAAAGGGCCATGGTCCTGCAAAAAAGAGGGAGTTTTGCAGGCCTACCCTCCCCTGGAGGGAGCAGATCCTAGAGCCCTGGGTGATTCTGGGTACCCTGGGTAATCCCTCATATCCCTGGGCAAGTCTCCCAAGTTCATAAACAAATCAACTCAGACTCACCCAAAAGAGACAGTCTATGAAAGCACAACTCTGCGTCTGTAGGGCAGCAATGGTGGGGACATGGTGACAGCAGCCTTTGGCTCACTCTCAGAGTGGCCTTAGGAGTTTCCATAATCCTTCCCAGGCCCTGACCTGACATAACACTGATGTGGAGAGTCACTCCTTCCAGGTTCTTTTCGCTAAAATATAACCATCCCTGTCTGGGGGCATCTCTTAGCTCCCCTTGTGTGCTCCTGGGCACCCTAAAGCTCATGTAGGCGTGAGCAAGGACCCTACCCCTAAAGGGTCTCTTGTCACCAGAGGCTGGGGCCACAGCTGCAGGGCAAAGAGGACGTGGTGACTCCTGTGAGCTGTTCCGGGGCAGAGAGCCCTGCAGAGATGGACATGATATAGGTATAGAGTTGGCTATTCAAGCGAAGAGGAAGGGAGGCCTTTTGGCAAAAGGACCAAAGACATAGCAGCCACATGGAGCAGAGGGGCAGCATGGAGGAGTAGAGAGAGAGTCGGGTGAGGAGGTAAGACAGGACCCAACAGTTGAGAGCCCCAAGTGCAAGCCAACAAGACGAGCTTTGATTCCGAAAGTCAAACAAGGAGAGCCCTCGAGGGCGTTGGAGCAGTGGCATTGATAGATGAAAGTCTGGCACCAAAGCACTCACGGTTGGCCAACCTTGGGTGAGTTACTCAATGTCACAAAATATTCATTTTCTCCTGTCTGTGATGGGAGAATAAAGGCACCTGCCTCATAGGGCCAGGGCGAGAGTCACCAAGATGACAAGGCAAAGTGCTTCGCAGAGCGCCCAGCACGTGGTCGGTGCACAGGAAGCGTTAGCTCCTGTGACGGTGTCCATGGAGTCTGACGGGTTCTGTAACCTTGGGCAGGATCAGACCTTGGAGGGCCATTAAGGGCCATACAGGGAGTCGGCTTCTCCTTGTACCTCGGGGCCTCTGTAGGGATGGATGAAGTGTTTAGCTGGATGTCCCACTGATCTGACCCCTGCCATGGGATCATGCCAAGGCACAGGGCTGTTGCTGGGCCTCCCTCTCTTGGCTGGGGGACTGGGAAGACAGGAGATGTGCCTGAGAGGGAGATAAGGGTCCTAGAGCCTTCTTTTAAGTGGTCACACCCCACTGTGTGTGGAGGGTGGGAACTGTGTATTCTCCACAAAGTCTTGTGCATCTGGCAGGCACAAATTTAGGGCTAGGGAAAAGACGGGGGTCAGAGCCACCAAGACCGTGTTGGAACCACACGCTCTGAAGGTGGGCGAGGGGAGTCTGGGATCCTTCTCCGGGGCATGCTTCTCCATCCAGGTAAACATGAATGGACAAACAAATCAACAACAGCTGGAGTGTTGTGCAAGGTATAGAGGAGTGGAGGGGTCCCTTGAGATGCTTTCTGGGTGAGCCGGAAGGGCGTTGCTCAAAGGTGGTGTACAAGGAGCACTCTCCTAAGCATCAGGAGTCCCACTGGCTGGGCAAGGCTCCTAGATCTGGGTCTCAAGATCTTCGTTTGTGGAACAGAAGAAATAGTGGCCACAACCAAGCCCTGCCTCCCAGAGTCGCTGGAGCCTCACAGGTGCAAGTGCTGGTCGTGGAAGAGCTGCACAGGGGTTGGCCTCAGCGGGCTGGCTCTGGCTCTGTGGAGCCCACAGCGTTCTGTGTGTGGGAGGGCTGGCTGTCTTCACGGGGTGCCCAGCTCTGGCTCCAGCCAGGCCCCCACGCCGTCCCCCTCCCCCAGGAAGCTGCGAGTATTTGCCTTCTGCTGTTCCTGGGATTCGATGTAGGGGTGGGAGTGGACAAAAAGACAAATTAAGGGCTAGGGAAAAGACAGGGGTCAGGGTCACCAAGAGGAGGGTGTTGGGACCGCATGCTCTGAGGGGGGAGAGGGGAGCCTTGGATTCTTCTCCGGGGAGGACCCAGACTCTAGGCATCTAGCAGAGGGTGGTTCTTTGTGAGAGAACAGACCGAAGCCTTGATGTCACCCTGGCCCCTGTTCCTCGGAAGTCCTCACCTCCTCAGGGAGGCCTTCCCTGACTGCAGATTCAACGACAGTCGCCCGCAGGTCGCTTCACGTCCCCCTTCTCTGCCTTGCTTTCTCCTCCTTGGTACTTTTGACTGTCTCATTTATTCACTCCCCTTTCAAAAATCATCCTTTGCCCTAGTGTAATGTCAGCTTCATGAAGGCAGGGAGTGGTGACTATTTTCTTCTCTCCTGTCTCCCCAGCCCTTAGATCAACCCGGAGCACCTCAGCAGGTGCTCAGTAATTGTTGACTGACTGACTAACTGAACAAACAGATGGCCCCGTCTGAAATCGGAGCCACCTCATCCCTGATCTCCTCCCCCTCCTTCAACCTGGCTCTGAGAGCCCCGTGGGAGGAAACATCTCCATATCTCAGGCCCTCAAGCCAACCCTAAACCTGCAGGAGGAGGCTTCGCCATAACAGCCTTTCTCTTGTAGAGGGAGCGAGGTGACGAGACACTGTTTAATGCAGCAGATGGACATTTGTACCATCTTCAACGTTCTCCTGTTTGCTCAGAAACTTCCAGGGATCCCTGACCACGATGATTCTGAGGGCAGGAGAGGCAGCAGAGTGTGTGCTCCAGGCTGGTTTTTTAAAAAATATAAAGATGAGGTCACATTATTTTTGCCCAGGCTGGACTTGAATTCCTGGGCTCAAGTGATCCTTTTGCCTTGGTCTCCAAAGTGTTGGGATTATAAGTATACAGCAGCCCCTTTTTTTTGAGTCAGGGTCTCTCTTACTCTGTCACCTAGGCTGTGGCACGATCGTGGCTCACCGCAGCCTTGACCTCCTGGATTCAGGCGATCCTTCCGCCTCAGCCTCCCAAGTAACTGGCACTATAGCGCATGCCACCACATTTGGCTAGTTGTGGTTTTTGTTTTGTTTTGTTTTACTTGTAAAGACCAGGTCTTGCTGTGCTGCCCAGGCTGGTTTCGAACTCCTGGGCTCAAGCAATCCTCCCGCCTTGGCCTCCCAAAATGCTGGGATTATAGGCATGAGCCACTGCACCTGGCTGGGTTAAGTTTTGAAGGATGACTACCTTTAAGGAGAAAAGACAAAGTGAATCCCAGGCCCGACATCAAAATGGAATGGCGAGAGTTCACTTCCTTGGTTGGCGGTGATTGACAAAGTACAGCTGCCCTAAGGGGCAGAGGCAGAAAGGATTGCAGATCTTCTGGGAGAGGGGGTCCCTGATGGCTGGAGCATGTGTTTTGTCCAGGACGCTGTTGTGACCACAGAACGGCCCTCGGTGGAGCTGGGGGGTGGAGGCTGCTGCCACCGGGCACACGAAGGGCAAGTTAAGCCCTAGCAGAATGGGAAAGACCGGAACAGAATCTTCTAGTCCGAGTGGAGAGGGAATATTGAGGGGGGCAAAATCTACTGAAGAGACCGTCTTGTTTTTATTGTCTTTTATACCCAGTAACTCCCAGCACAGAGGCCAGTCCTTCGGGTCTCAAGGAGACAACACTGTGGCCCCAGGAGCCTTCTTCCGGCCCCGCCGTGCCTCGCAGACACTGCGCAGGGTGTGAGGTCCCCGCAGTGCCCCTCATCGGCCCTCTTGTCTTCTTCTTTGCAGGAGAGCGTGGACTTGGGAGAGATCATGTTCTCCCTCTGCTACCTGCCCACAGCAGGCAGGCTCACCCTCACGGTGATCAAGTGTCGGAACCTTAAGGCGATGGACATCACAGGCTATTCAGGTACCTCTCACCCAAGCGCCTGCCAGCAGCACAGACACCAGGCTTTGGAAGGTTGTTCGGGGAGAGGGGGAAAGAATTGTCAGTATTCTTAGGAGAGATGCACCAGCTCTGGAGGCAAACGGCCTGCATTCTAATTCCGGTTCTGTCACATCCTTCTGTGGAAATGCTTTGGTTTTCCAATCTGAAAAGTGGGTATAATACATGGGGCCAGGCGTGGTGGCTCATGCCTATAATTCCAGCACTTTGGGAGGCTGAGACGGGAGAATTGCTTGAGCACCCGAATTCAAGACCAGCCTGGGCAACATAGCAAGACCTCGTCTCTTCCAAAAAGAAAAATACAAAAACTAGCTGAGCGTGGTAGTGCATGCCTATAGTCCCAGCTACTTTGGAGGCTGGGGCAGAAGGATCACCTGAGCCCAGGAGGTCGAGGCTGCAGTGAGCTGGGATTGCACCACTACACTCCAGCCTGGGCAACAGAGTGAGACCCTGTTCATTTGCGTAAATATTTAAAGTTGTGCCTTACACATAATAAGCACTCGGTAGATATTACCTATTATTCTTTCTCCTAGAGAAGGGAGAGAATACGAAGTGAATATCTAGAGGGAAAAAAGCAAGGAACAGTCTTTCTAGTTTGTGTGAGGCTTCAGGACTTCCTGAAGGGTTATGTCAAGTTTGAGTGTGCAAATGTTTGTAGGTCCAGCAGGCCTGTGCAGCAGCCCTGGGTACTGAGTCAAGGAAGCAGATCCACTGAAAAACAAAGTGCATTTGTATTTGATGTTCTCCTGCAGGCCTCCTGGCCTCAGCCTCCGAACCAGAAGAGCTGCTAGGTTCAGCAGCAGCATAGGCGAATAGTTCTATTCTAGCAGCAGAGGACATGCTTTCTTGGGGCAACTGCGACCTGCAGGCTGGACATGGTGTCAGAGGTTTGAGCCTTTCCCACAGTTCTGTGAGTTGTTATAGGAGAAGGAGTTTGGAAATAACACAGGGGGAACTTGAGCTGGGAGCCTCCTTTCCCCGTCAGCTCAGAGTGCTCTGAGGAGTGAAAGGGGGTGAAGCCTCCCAAAGAATGGGCTCATAAAACAATCTGGGCTGCTCTCAGAATTAGCAATGTAGGAAAGCTTGGGTGGTTTCCCTAGACCCCGGCTCAAGAGGCTCTCCTGATGATTCAGATTACCAACGTAAGACCACTCAGGAGGTGCTTCTGAACTTGGCTGGGAATATACTGAGGATATTTCCCCATTTTTCTTTGTATTCTTTCATTATGTACTTCCTGGAAAACTCCTTAGGAGTTGCCAGAAAGAGGCAACAGTTTGGCTGAAAACATCTGGGTCCAGGTGAAACCTGGTGCCCTTGGAAGAAAAGGAGGTGCCAGGCCTTGAAAGCAGGTTTCAGGAAAAGGTGGTCAGGAAACCCTAGAGTAACATGTACCAAGGGGAGACCCCAAAAAACCCGGAATTATCGTTTGGAGGGCAGGCTTCTTGTGGTACAGGCTCCTCCCTCTAGGTCAGTGTTCTAGGAGCCCGTCAGGATCCGTGTGCCAGTTAGCATTGTCATGAGAGGCTGCGTTCAGCTTCAGTGAATTTTTTTTTTAGATTCTTTCAGCGTGTTTGCCCATTTCACAATGGGTGATTTATGGACATGCCTGCCCACATTGTGCTGAGTGTTCAGCAGTTTTTGCAAGATGGCATGACCCTCATGTACCCAATCTCGCTCTGAGTGACTTTTTTGTTTCCCGGGTTGAAAGTCCTCAAAGGAAAACGTCTTGCTGATATGGAAGAGGTGGACGGAAAAATGGCAGAAGCGCTCAAAAACATCAAAATGAACAAGTTCAAAAATTGCCTTGAGCAGTGGAAAAACCATCTCCATAGGTGGATTGCATCAGACGGAGAGTCCTTTGAAGCTGACTGAAGCTTAAACAACAAGAATCAATGCACAATTTTTTATAAATAAATTCCGGGTTCTGGGGGTCCCCCTCATATTTATGGCAGCTCTGAATCCCTTGAAGCCTCTGCTCCTGTCCCAAACGTCTCTCCAGCGCTCCCGCCTTCCAGGCCAAAAGCCTCCCCCTGCCCTTCACCCCGAGAGTGCCCACCCTCGTGTTTCTCCTCCCACTGAAGCTACTGACACGCAGCCACATGTGGGGAGGAGCTTAACGGACCCTTCCGGCCTGGGAAAAGCTCTCAGGCAACAGCAAATCATCTTTCTCCGAAAGATAACCAATGGGGATTTCATCTTAATGCCAAAAAAATGAATACCGGGAAGAAAATTCACGAGAATCTCAAGGCTGCTGAGGGAAATAGGATTCTGTAGCCTGAGTCTCCACACTATCTCCTCTAGTGTAATTAAATTGATGTGCTAGAGAGAGCGCAGACGGTGAAGCCGCTGAGGTCATCGCAAAGGCTGCTCCAAATCAGAGGGCTTGGGGTGAGATGTGTTTCATGCTGAGTCCTCACCTCCCTCTCACAACTGCCCCTCTGTTCTACCCGGGTTTGGAAGCTGGTATGAAACCCCAGCTTGATTCAGAAGATGCAGGGGTCCTCTTTTCATCAGAGATGTCTGTTTTGTTCACAACGTAAGCAAGTATCTGGAACGGTGGACGAGATGCAATGAGCATTCAATAAATGTGTACTAGATGAATGAACGAATGAATGAATTTGTGGCCCAGGGCGCCTGGCCCCAGGGTGATGCAGTGGCAGCGTACACACCAGGGGCCTCTCAAACGAGATCGTCTTGAGGGCAAGCTTGAGGCTGTCTTCAGCCCAGGCTTGTTTGATGTTGGACTAAACTGGGGAGTGGATGGAGCATATAAATCGCTGGTTCTTGAGTTATATGGCATTGACCTCTAAAACCAAGGATCATCTTATTCTCCTTTATCTTTTTTTTTTTTTGAGTTGGAGTCTCACTCCGTCACCCAGACTGGAGTGCAGTAGCACGTTCCTAGCCATCGCAGCCTCGACCTGCTGATCCTTCTGCCTCAGCCTTCCAAGTAGCCAGAACTACAGGCGCGTACGACCACGCCTGGCTAATTTTTGATTTATTGTAGAGACGAGGTCTCGCCAAGTTGCTCGGGTGGGTCTCGAACCCGCGGGTTCAGGCAATCCACTCACCTCGGCCTCCCAAAGTGCTGGGATTACAGGCTGAGCCACCGAGTCAGCCGTTCTCCTTTAGCTAAACCAGTCCTGAATCAATTCTCTAAGCCTATCTGCTAGAACCATGACAATAAAAATAGCACAAAATAATAATAAGGACCAGTATGCTACAAAGGGGTGATGAGTGCATACTAAATGCTGAACGTTGATGGCTCGCATGACAATGAGGCTAAAATACCCTGCTGGTCCTCGTCCTGTCCCCTCCCTCAGCTGCACAGAGCATCAAAGGCTGCTATAGGTCCTCCAAGATCACCTGGGGCCAGCATTCCACTAGACATCACAGAGCCTTGCCCCAGAAACCCCTTTAAGTGTCTGCTTAGCTGCATGGATGCTGGTGAGCGTGTTGGTTCCTACGGACGAATATGTCCACTGAATTTTGTAAGTTGGATGTGCCTTGTCAGGGTGAACAGAGCTGGGGAAGGGTGCTGAGGCCTCAGTCTCATTTGCTCAGTGACTTGTGGGACAAGTGACTCTGCCTATATATTTTTCCAAACCTCACGATGTGGAAATCCGCTCCCATGTGGGGGTGTATGAAATAGACATAACAGGCATGAGGCTGCGCTTGAGCAGCTGCAAGCCTGGAGGCCCTTCCTAAGGCAGTGTGTACCGCGAAGGAGTGTAAAAGCTCTGTGTCGGTGGCTCAGCCTGTAATCCCGCGCCTTGAGAGGCTGAGGTGAGTGAATTGCCTGAGCCCACGGGTTCGAGACCTGCCTGGGCAACTTGGCGAGACCTCATCTCTACAATAAATAAAAAAAAATCAGTCCAGGTGTGGTAGCGCGCACCTGTAGTTCCAGCTATGTGGAAGGCTGAGGCGGAAGGATCACCGGAGCCCAGCAGGTCGAGGCTGCACTCCAGTCTGGGTGACAGAGTGAGACTCCAATTGAAAAAAAAAACAACTCTGTGTTAAAGACAGGGCTTGGGGTGCCATCCTCCCACCTGTCTCCTAGGACCTGATTAACGTCCTGGGGCTTATACCTAGAGAACAAAGTCTGTAGAAATAGGAAGCTTGCCTCCTGTGGTTCTCAAAACTCCTTCCTTTTTACTGCAACCCCCTCCCGAGAAGGGGCTCTCTCAAATGGGGAGTCCCAGGCAGCAAGTAGATGAAACACCTCATGGTCTCCCCATAAACCCAAGTGCCCCCATGGTTGAGGCATGGCTATCGCTGTCACATTGATTAGTCATCAGCTCATCTAGATGTCTATGAAAGGCTTGGAGTTTTTGATCAGGTGTTGTAGTTTTCTCTAGTGTCCGCTGTAGGTGTATATCTCTTCTGCCACCTGAATGTTGCCAGGGAGTCTGAGGGCTTAGTGGGTTCTCGATGCCCAGGAGATAGAACCATTCGCCTATAAATCACAGAGCTGGGAGAGCAGCTGCTTTGACCTGTACCTCCTGACAGATTCATGGGAGCCTTGGCTTCTGGGCAACAAGGTGTCACAGCGCATCAGCATCTCGAAAGCTGTTATTACCTGTGAGTCACCCTCCCATTTCTTGAATTGTGCAGCATAAATAACAATTAGGATGGTGGCCGAGACACCTGTGCTATGAGATACAATAGGCGTCACTTCATCTGGATGAGTAGAAAATTTCAGGGTAGAAAGATGACCATGAAATACCCATTCAGAAGACCGAAGAAGAGACTAAGACGGGAAACGCACGGAAGTTCAATAAAAAGACACCCCTTTGCAGGATGGAGAGAATCCAAGATCCCACTGAGAAGGGAAATGTCAACCAGCTGTCCTGAATCACAGGCGACTGCCTCACTCACCCCCCCTCACGGCCAGAGCCCCCTCCCCCTCCATTGCCCAGAAGCGGGCAGGAAATGCCTTCCCGGGAAGCAGCCAGCAAGGCCATGTCTTCCCTTCTTGATGCCAGATGAACATGAGATTATTGGGACAATGGAACCCACAATTATACTGTCAGGTGGGGAGGACGTGGACAGCATTGTGATTGTCACTGTTTCACTCTGACACGTTCGTACTCCTTGGGCATCGTTGAATCCTATTTTTAAACCCCCTTATCTTTGGGTTAATAATGCTGACCCAAAAATATAAAAAACAGAGAAAAAGTTTCCACACCGGTGGAAGAAATAGTGTCCTTGTTCAGCTTCATCATCCTTTTGAGCCAGCCAGCCATTGCGGGGCTGAGATTTAGGGCCGTGAACTACATCCCCATGGGTAGGTGCCATGTCTGGTTTGGGGCCAGCTTCCCCGTTAGTGAAAGCCCATTAAGCACTCTCCCAAGGATACTGAGGTAGCTAAAGACTCCGTGTTGATTAAGCACAGAGTGTCCTCGGAGACAGGTGTACTACATAAATACAAGGTGGTTTAATTATTTGAGCAACCCCCTGATACCATCTGACGAGCAGCAGTAGGCCTAGGGCTTCCGTCCCTCTGCCACAAATGATGTTCAAGGACGTCTGCTTAACACGCTCCTGTTAAACCCCAAATTCAAAATCCGAGAGACCACCGAAGAGCCAGCTCCGATGCAAACACACGAGGGTCTGTATTCAGGCTCGAGTCTGGGCTCACGTTTGAAGCTGATGCAGCAGCTTCAGGGACGAGAGCCCCCGACCCAGGCTAACACGCACCTTTTATACATAATTCTGAAGGGGTGGGGTGGCTTTACAAACTTGTGCACACGGGATTGGATAAAAACTATATGACACAGTTACAAAGACTTTGATTGGTTGATTTAAGTTTGATTTGCACGGGCTCAGGCTTAGTTGCTTGTGATGGACAAGTAACTGCCAAACGGGCGGAAGGGAATGCCAGATAAGCTAGGTTTAGTAAGCAGGCAGGAGGTTTGAAACAACATGGAGCTTACCAGGAGAGAGACGCCACAGAGGCTACCACAATTTAAGCAAGGGAATGTCCAGAAGGGGCTTATTGCTTAACATTCACACACTGCTAGCGGCAGTTGCAGAATTCATATAGTAACAGTTCTTTTTTGAGTTTTTTTGAATCTCTTAGGTCTCTCCGCTCCCTTCCCTCTCTCCTGCCCCCATTGGCACAGATCCGTACGTCAAAGTGTCCCTGCTTTGTGATGGGCGGAGGCTGAAGAAAAAGAAAACCACCATCAAGAAGAACACCCTCAATCCCATCTACAACGAGGCCATCATCTTTGACATTCCTCCAGAAAACATGGACCAAGTCAGCCTGCTCATCTCTGTGATGGATTACGATCGGTGGGTACGCAGCCCAAGGGACAGGAGCTGGCCCCTCACAGGGCCCCCACGCCCCTGCAACAGACGACTCCTTGGGGTTCAGGGCAGGGGCCACTGGCCTCCAATCGGGCTCCACCCCAGAAAGGAATGGGAGTCTGAGGAAGATCACGGATCCCCCCTTGGCCAAGAGCTCAAGCTTCCCTGCCCAGCTAGCCTATCTCCGCTGGCTCCACCCATGAGCTTCCCTGAATTCGCTCCTAACTATTCCCATTCTTCTTTCTGGCACCAAATCCCGTCACCTGTCCTTTGAAACGGCTCGCTTTCCTCTTCATTTCGGCGGCTGCTACCCCTCCCACTCTGGGATGGCTGTGCCCCTCGTAGCTGACCCCGGCCTCCTCACTTCCTGCCCCAACTCAGCCGCCTTCCTAAATGACGCTTCCTGGACACCTCCTGGATGCTCCCAAAGTGCTGGGATTACAGGTGTGAGCCACCGTGCCTGGCCCTTTTTCCCCTAAAGACAAGGTCTCTGTCACCCAGGCTAGAGTGGACCATCAGTGGCTTCTGTTGTCCAGGCTTTCTCCCTGGACGCTCACGGCCTTCCATCATCGGGCCCAAGCCTGTCTATCTGGTCTGATTTCCCCTCCCCCAGACGTCTTTCTTCTCTTCTGCTTATCCTGCTCGTCCCTCAAGGCTGGCTCAGAAACTCTTTTCAACCACTCCAGCCCCCGAGGCTCCTCTCCAGTTGTCACTTCAGCTCAAGGAGGAAGAAACCGTGCAGTAAAGCCTCAGTCTGGGATTTTTAGCACACATTCTCAGGCATAGTAGGTGCTTGACAAACATACTTGAGTGATGACTGATGTTCTTGGTGAGTGAACAAATCACATGCTTGCCACTGGGGTTATGGAGAAATGGTGCCCAGAGCAGGTTGATTTATTTGCAAATGCTGATGTCTCAACGAGGTTGTGGTGTGCCCAGAGTCAAGTCCGTGAAGGCCCTTAAACTCTCCCTCCTCCCAAACTCAGGCCATCTGCCCATCATTTTCTGAGATTCTAAACAAGTATATAGCCTCCCAGTAATAGGCAGAGGCTTGAGCCCAGGAGTTCGAGACCCGCCTGGGCAACATAGTTAGACCTTGTCTCTACAAAACAATCAAATGAAGTAAAAAAATTAGCCAGGTGTGGTTGTGCACACCTGTAATTCCAGTTACTTGGGAGGCTGAGGCGGGAGGACCACTTGAGCCTAGGAGTTGGAGGCTGTGGTGAACAGTGATGGTGCCACTGCATTCTAGCCTGGGTGACAGAGACCCTGTCTTTAGGGGGAAAAGGGCCAGGCACGGTGGCTCACACCTGTAATCCCAGCACTTTGGGAGGCAGAGGCAAGAGGATTGCCTGAGCCCGGGGGTTTGCGACCAGCCTGGGTAACTTGGGGAGACCTCGACTCTACGATAAACTTTTAAAAATTAGCTGGGCATGGTGGCACGTGCCTGTAGTTCCAGTTACTTGGAAGGCTGAGGCAGAAGAATTGCCTGAGTCCAGCGTGTTGAGGCTGTGGTGGCCATGAACATGCCTTTGCACTCCAGCCTTGGAGACAGAGTGAGACTCCAACTCAAAAAAAAAAGTTTATAACCTTTTGCTCATCTATCTGTGCCCTGTGTCCACCCAAGGGGACCGGGCAAAGCGTCACTGCTGCTGACACCCCAGGCCCTGCCAAGCACTTGTTTTCAGAGCTCAGAATTCTGAGTTAGATTCATTGGCCAGAGTCCCGCCTCCTCCCCCTTTCTGAGAGCATGCCTGGTGGTCCATGCCGGGCCCTCTGCTTCTCCCCCAGGGTGGGCCACAATGAGATCATAGGAGTCTGTCGTGTGGGGATCAGCGCCGAAGGCCTGGGGAGGGACCACTGGAACGAGATGCTGGCGTACCCTCGGAAGCCCATCGCACACTGGCACTCCCTGGTGGAGGTAAAGAAATCCTTCAAAGAGGTGGGTGAGGTTGCCTGGCCCTTGGCATGCTTCCTGCATGGCAGTGTGGGCTGGAGAATGGCAGGCGGCTGCGGTGAGACCCCCGGCCTTTCATGGGGGGTGGGCGCGGGGCCACAGGCTTTAAGGAGTGAGGTGGAGGCTGCCCTCCAAAAAGCCCCTGGTGATGGGCATTGTGAAAGCGATGCTGACTTCTTAATGGAAAAGAACTTTGAAGAAGCCTTCCCAGCAGACGCTGAGCCAAAGCGTGTGGCCAAGTCGGTCCCCTAGGAGAAAGCCCCGAGGGCATGAGATCAGAGCTTGGCAAGAATCTCTGCCCCTGTCAAAACGGCAAGATCCCTGAGGCTCAAGCCAGGCGGTCCCTTGGCAGTTCTCACCGCTCCAATGGAGAAGCCAAAGGGTAGTTTCTTCCTCTTAAGAATGTTTCTCGGCATGGTGGGAAGCGCAACAGGGCCTCAAGGTGTCAGGCTTCCTAGCTAAAACTGTGGGGCTGGGTTGCGCCGGGGTTCTAACAGAGACGTAATGGAGAGAGCACTGGGATGCGAGTCCTAAGCTTGGCCCCTCCTGACTTACTGTATAATCTTGACCCTGTCATTTTTCTCTCAACTGCAAAGAAAATGTCCCCTTGAGTGACATTTTCCATCTGCCCACCCTCCACTGAATCCCAGCAACTTAAGATCCTGTGATCTGTCACATGGGTGGCCCCCAGGCCTGCTTGTTCAAGGCAAGCCTTAAACCTCATTTCCAACATCTACCCCAGTCCATAGCCTAGAAAGCAGGTGATCATTTTCTCATTTAAACAGGCTTCAAACCTCGCAAGTCTGTACACAATTTGGAAAATCTACAGAAAACAAAAATAAAGCTCTGTCCCTCCCACCACATGGCCCCTCAGGCACCTTAAAAGCAGAGCAGTCAGGCGGTCTCCGCGGCTCACGCCCATAGAGGATTGGCTTAGCCCACAGGTTTGAGACCAGCCTGAGTAACTTGGCAAAACTTCACCCCTACAATAAATCAAAAAATTAGCCGGGCATGGTGGCGCGTGCCTGTAGTTCCAGCTACTTGGAAGGCTGAGGCAGAAGGATCACCTGAGCCCAGGTCACAACTGCCGTGGCCGTGAGTATGCCATTGCACTCCAGGCTGGGCGACAGTGTGAGACTCCAACTCAAAACAAAAAACAAAAAACCAGAGCAGTCAGGGCAGCACCCTGAGCACCTGCCAGCTCCCTTTCCTCCTCAGAATGGACGAGCCCATTTCCACCTGTTTCCAGCCATGTGTCTCAAGGGAGACGGAGAGCTGAGGGGACTGGACTCAGGAAAACTGTGGGAGACATAGACATCCCAGGGCCAGGTGCCTTGATTTCCCTCCCCAGGGAAGGCGTGTGCTTTGTGAAGCTCCTGCCCTGTGGCCTTTAAGGAGTAAAACAAAGCAAAGCTCCTGCCAGCTGAGGCCTCCCGGTCCTGTCTTGTGCTTGCCTTGATTTCACCACCCCTTGATTTCACCACCACTGTGGAGCTTTACCGAGTGAGGCCAGTCCCCCCAGCTCCCCCAGAGGGAGCGCCTGTCCCCTCTTTTCCTGAAGGCCCTCTCTGCAGGGTGCAGGTGAGAGACCCACAACCTGACTCCGCCTGTAGGGAGACACTATGGGTAGAACTGTAGACAGTGTCCAGCACCTCATGAATGCTGTGTGGATTCAGCCCAGAGGAATCAACAGTTCCCCCCTTTTTAATCCTTTGCAGATATTGAAGAGCAGAACAAGCATATTAAACTGTGCAGGGCTTTCGTGGCAGGGCATGGGGTGAATGCTCAGAGGCCTCTGGGTGGGCTCTGAGGCTTCAAGCAACTCACTGCCCCACTCAGGTCTTTGGTTTCTTCATTGGTAAAAAGAGGGGATGGGCCCCTCCCATCTTGACTTTTCTAGGAAATGCTGACTGTAAATGATGGAAGGCCGGGCGTGGTGGCTCACACCTATAATCCCAGCACTTTGGGAGGCCGAGACAGGAGGACTGCTTGAGACAAGGAGTTCGAGACCAGCCTGGGCAACATAGCACCAAAAAAAAAAAAAAAAAAAAAAAATTAGCCAAGCGTGGTGGCGTGAGCCTGTAGTTCCAGTTACTCAGGAGGCTGAGGTGGGAAGATTGCCTGAGCCCAGGAGACTGAGGTCGTGGTGAGCTGTGATTGTGCCACGATATTCCAGCCTGTATGATGGAGTGAGACTCTGATTCAAAAAAAAAATTAAAAAGTAATGATGGCTGAGCCCGTGAGCCCACATCTCGACTGCCTTTCTAATCTTGAATCTGTAATAACCCGTCACTGATACGAGGCAGGGCCTGCCCATGGGAGATGGAAAGTAACTGACAGAGCAGAGGCTGCAGCTGGGGGTGGGGTGCTGGATACCACAAGGGGCCAGGGCTTGGCCACAGAATCACTTCATGATGAATACAAGCTAATTAAGCCAAATAATTGATTCCAGTCCTGTTTCTTTGAGAACTCCGACTCACTAGTGCAGACTACAAAAGAAAGAAAGATAAAGTGGAATCAAGCCCTGGAAAATGAATATTCGATGAGACAGTAAAGGGAAAGTAGCCGTGTATGAAAAATGAAAAGAGAATAAATTGATATCCTTTAACTTTGCTTTTTTCTCGACCTTGCTCACCAAGCTCCCGAGACGGCCCCCCTCCCCAACTCACTATCCCACCATTTTCTGCTCAGCTCATCATTTCTCTGCATGAAGAAGCTGAAAAGGATATTTGTCTTGACAACTTAGGATTTCAACTGTACACATGTATTTAAAGGTTTTACCAACACTTTTCGCCCCCCAGTTTAAATATCTTTACAAAATTGCGTGTTTGGTTGGGCGTGGTGGTGCACACCGGTTACCCCAGCACTTGGGGAGTCTGAGGCAGGAGGATTGCTTGAGCCCAGAAGTTTGAGACCAGCCTGGGCAATGTAGCAAATTCTTGTCTCTACAAACAAACAAACAAAATTAGCCAGGAGTGGTGGTGCACGCACGCCTACAGTCCCAGTACTTGGGAGGCTGAGACAGAAAGATTGCCTGAGCCCGAGAGGTTGAGGCTGCAGTGGCCGTGATCATCTAGCTGGGTAACAGAATGAGACTCTGGTTAAAAGAGAAAAAACGAGTCTAAAACCCCGTCAGATTAATAATAAGTAAACACTTTGTGTTCACGTGAGATATTAAACACACATCCTCCTGATCATCCTTAGAGCTCACATCCTGTCTTCTTTTTGTTCCTGTTCGGGACGTTGGACAAGAGCCTTGCTCCTGAAACTTGCATCTCCCGTTTGTATAATCATAAAGAAATCTTCTCCAGCTCCCGGGAGGATGAATGTCATCCTATCTGTCAAGCACTCCGTATTTATCTTGCACCTTTCTTAGAAAAGTTTCAAGTGCTGCGATCATTTTTTTTATTAATGAGAGCAGAGGGCATCACATTTGCTCGCTTATTTGGGGTTTAAAATAAGATTGAGGAGGGACAAAGCACCTGAAAAGGCATCTTTCCCTGCCGGAGTTCTTTCAGAAACAGAAACTCATGGCGCAGTCACAAGTGCCTTCCGCAGCCAGGGCGCCAGCCCCTTCCCTCCCACACTCCTACCCAGCGCCGCATGTGATCGCTGTCACCCCACACGGGCTGACCGCACTCTTCTCCAGGCATTGTATCACGTGGGGGGGCCAAGTCCAGCTCATCTGCCAGAGACTTTAGGTCTCTGTTGGAACGTGACCCATTTCAGGACAACAAAAGACCTTCCTGGAGCACAGCCACCCCAGAACAATGCTCTTCCTGCTTGCTGGGGATGGGCTCACCATAAACCTTCTGGAATCATCTACCCTCCCACTGTCCATGAGCCCTGCCTCTTCCCTTTGTTTACCGTCATAGGAAAAATCAGGGACTAGCAGGGGAGCCAGGGTTCCTTCTTCATTTATTTCGAATAATCAATGATGCTCCCTGCGACCACTCTTTGGGCTGTCATGTAAAGGAAAAAAGGGAATCTGTATAGCCTTTTCATGGTTTTGCCTCTGACCCAGCCTATCAGCTTATCTAAGTAGCATGCTTATCCAGGGAAGAAGCCAGTAGTTACCGCATACCTTTCCCCAACACGAAAGATTGTAACAGGAAAAGCAAAATGTCTAAAGCGAGGGTCTGTTAAACGAAAGTGTTAGTAATCATCTTATCTGGTTAAAAAAACACTTGAGTCAGAAGCCACAACGGGCTCAACAACCAGGCATTTATTTATCTAAAATATTTCGCCAGGGAAACCCTCGGTTGTGATTTCATTCACGTGGATGCTGCAAGCGGAGAGACTGCCACCTGGAGTTAGGAGTAAGTACCGGGTGTGGACCCCAAGAGGTTAGGTTCCTGTTACATTTTGTCTGCTTCCTCCCCTAGCGTGGCCAGAGGCTAAGAGAGCAGCAGGATGGAGTGCAAAGAGCCCTGAGCTGGTTTCGGGTCCTGGCTGTGTCCCTTGCGATCTATGTCTTGACTTCTCTGTGTCTTTGTTTTCTTATTTGCAAGAACAAGAGGGTTAGACTGGATCCTCTCCCAAACTTGTCTCCGGTTCCGACATGCAGAATTGCTCAGGTGGAGGCCACATAATGGTGGTCATCGGTATCTGATGTCCAGACCTTGGTTAGTTGTAAAGATCTTTGGTTGGCCTGCATGGGGAGTACTGAGCAGTCCATGAAGAACTGAGCCCGAAGGAAGGTAGCAGAGGCTTTCTTTTGGACTTGGGAGCACTAAGGTAGTTTAGGAGGTCTGGGTCTTTGCTCAACTTTGTAGGTTTCCCATCTACTCCATGGGTTATGCTGGATGGCAGACAGCATATGCATTGGGTGCTCAGCCCTGTCTAGAAATGGCTGTGTTGAGGGGGAACCACCCGCCCCCCTCTCACCCCTGTGTATACACTTCACAATGGAGACCCCGACACTCAGGAAAAGCAGAAGGGGCCACACTTCCGGTTCAGGGAGGCCATCTTGACCACCGGCCTAGTCTCTGTCTCTGGAGCCCTGTCCCGCGGGCACCTAGGAGAGTACTGGGCCTTGTCAGCCCACAGAAGGATGGCGTGAATGGGAACGCAGAGTCACTTCAGAGTGACACAGCCCCCAGGCGGGTCAAGCATGTTCACAATGTCAGATCCTTGCCCAGTAAACATTGCTGCAGCTGGGACTGGCTTTTCCAGCCAAAGAAGGATTGAACCACCCGAGTCCATCCACCCCCAGCCCTCTCCTTCACTCCATGACACCTCATTGCATCCCCTACTTTCCCAGAAAGGTTATGGTCGGGCTGAGGGGAGGCGTCTGTGAGCCAGGAGAGCTGGGGAGGAGAAAAGGGCTGGAGAAACCCAGAAGGGCCAGCTCACACCCCTACTTCTCCACAAGTCGGGTGCGAATGCCCGTCGGAAGAATTAAGACCAAAGCAGGACACCCAAAGCTAACGCAGTATCGAGTTTTCAGATGTACTAACAGCTCCCAGGCAAATCGCTAATACTTCATGATCAGTGGGTTCTTGGCAGTAAGGACATCCGCTGCACACTGTCTCTCTTGCTGCCAACATGATAGGATGTTCAGTGTGGAAAATGGCCGAAGTACTCAGAAATGGCCTGGTCACAACCCCTCATGAAAACACAAACACTCGGGCAACCCTTTCAGGTCCCCTCCCACTGTGGGAGCTTTCCTGTCCTCTCAATAAATCCTGCTTTCTCACTTTCCAAACACACACACACACACACACACACACACACACACACACACACTCACACACACTCACACACACTCACACACACTCACAAAGCAAGCTTTCATGATCTCTGCAGTAGGTCTTGTTGAAAATCAGGTCTTCCAAACTAGAAGCTCTAAGCTGTTTTCCTCGTGTTTTTGCATGGCTGACAGCAACATTCAAGAAAGCTTACGAGAAGCTGAGAGAGGTGAATTCAGTGCATGGGCCTGTTAAGTGTCGCAAGCTGACGTGTTAATTCCCCTGGTGACCAATAACCGGATCTGTCTCCTCCCCGCAGTGGCAGGGCCGAGCCGCCAGCTTCGACAGCGAGAGCTCGTGCCCATCTCCGAAACCACCTCCGACCCCATGAGCGGCACAGCCGAGCAACGCAACCCGGACTCAGCGACGTTCTCTTTGCACTTGTTCAACCGTCCAAACGCAGTGTTGTGCAGTGGCAGCGACAGCCGTCTGTCCCTCCAGAGTCTTACCTGCTCCTGTGTAGGTCAAGGCCGAGACACTTGTCGTGTGGTCAGATCTGTCTTAGTCTTTTCTGTCTCTCAAGGTGATGTTTCTGTGGTTTTTCACTTTTTATGGGTCTGCTGTCAAGAAAAGAAAAAAAAGAGTAGGAAAACCAACCAAGGGTGGAGAGCCCAGAAGTTGGTTCTAGAAAATACAATGTAAAATGGCCGTCTTTTCCGGAGAGGTGGATTGAGTTTCTGAAATTTTGTGTCCCTGAAAGCTCCACGACCCTAGAGAAGGAAGAAGCAGGGTGGAACTCTAGCCATCGCTATAGCAGGCACGGGACAAATCGATCAAAGAGCCTTTATGAGGTTAAAGGTTACTCCTTGAAGCTCTTCACTGGTGAGACAGAAGCCAAGCGGAGACTCTTGGTCCCGTGTTGAAATCTCAAGCCTTGAGCCGTTTCTGAACCCTCTGCTGGTGTGCAGGGTTCCTCATGTCCCTTCCTCGTTCGCTTTTCCTCATGAATTGAAGACATCTTGATTCCTCATGGGAAACTCAGTCACTTCCTTTAAGAATGATTCTGCTGAAACTAAACACGCCATATGTTTTTTGATGCGCCCCAGTTAATGATCACATTTGTTTGAAAACAGGATCTTTGTTCTTAGAAATAACCTTCATTGTAAAGAAAGAGAGGCACATATGTTCCAGAACGATTTCTGAGTTATACATAGCTTTATAATTCCGTGAAGTATCAAGCAGCTGTTTAAAATGCCTAAACGGATCAAAGAAAAAACCTAGACAGAATGTTCTCTTCTAAATGGGGAGTTTTGAAATCCAAGGAACAGTTGGAGGACATCTTTCTATGAAGGGTATCTTTTGCATTGAAACCAAGTCAGCTTAAGCCTGTTTCAGCCCCCATTGGCTCTGGGACAATATTTATCTTAAACTTTAGTTCTATAAATTATTAAGTACTTCAGTGTTGTTTGTTTCCGTGGTCGTGAGGGGTTTTTGTTTCCTTTGAATCTCTCCCTTAGGCTGAATTCAGTTTAGGAAAAAAAATGTTTGAGGTATTCTGTATCATAGTAGCACATTTCTGTTGAGTTCGCAGTGGCCTTTCCACCCGCCCCTAAAACCGATTGATTTGCTCCATCTCGGTCTGTATATCCTTGGTCAGCACATCGAAGTGAGTTTCTTCTTTAACTTGTAACTACACAACGCCGATTTTCAGAGCTGTGTGTACCACCTGCAGGAAGTAAGGTGGCCGGAGACCCCTTGTTTCAACAGAGGGAGGTGAAGAAAGTTCACACTATTCACACACCTTGTGTCTTATTCTTTGCCTATAGCACATTCTTTGCCTATAGCACATCCTGGAAGAGCAGTGACCGATAAAGTTATCCTTATTTGAAGCCAAGTTATCAAGTTTCTCTGCGAGTAATTCTGGGTAATGTCTTCAAGCTTAAAAATGGACCACAGTGGGCATGACATTGCAAGATATTACTGCGAGTAACAAGATTGGCCAAAGGAATTTTCCACCCAGTAAATGTAGATAAACCTATAAACTCCACCCGGTACTGAGCCTTAGGCTAGGGACTGATGTGTCTAGATAACTTGTCTCCCCAAATGTGCTGTGGTTGACAGGCCTTCCTAGCCAGACAGTCCTGCGTTTGGACATTCTCTTGAGAGTGAGAAAAAACCCAAGGTCATGACAAGACTCCCAGCAGATGACAAGATTCGTTCTGATTCTGACTCTAGACTGACCCCATCAAGACGGCCATCTCAATCTATGAGCAGATGCTGTGGTCCTTGCAACTGAAGGGGACAGTTGAGTTTCCTGGGTCCTAAGAGGCCCGAAATTAGTGACCTCAAAATGCACGTCCTGCTGTCATCTTTAAATACTTAGGCGGGTAAGGAGCACCCATTCTAGCCTTTAGAAGGGCCTGTGACCGTGCTTGTCTGAGATTCCTGTGATATCCAAGCAGCTATCTCACATGAGTGAACAACCCAGTGGTTTTAGAAAACCATTTCCTGAACCGGTTACGCCCAGCCCACACACCACCCTGACCAACCACTACCCTTCCGCTGCAGGCGAACCCCAGAATTGGGGCTCGGCCTGAGAGGCCAGGTAGGTTCTTGCAGGAAGGAATTCAAGCCTAAGCCCTAAATAGGAGACAAAAAGCAAGTTCACTAAAGAAATGGATCCATAGGCAGAGGAGCCCATGTGCACTGCTGGGCTTTCTGTTGGAAATTAAAAGTAAGTTTATAGAAATGACGGAGAACAGACCACTTCCCAGGCAGAGCAGCCGGGGCTGGTCTATAGGAAGAACAGCTGCCACATGTTGCTGGTGTTTATTTTTATAGATATCCTTTGATCATAGCTAAGCAAGGGGTAGATTATTCATGGGTTTTCCAGGAAAGGGAGTTTCCAGAATCAAGATTCCTCCCCCTTTTAGACCAGATAGGAACTCACACCTGTAATCCCAGTACTCTGGAAGACCCAGGCAAGAGGATGGCTTGAGTCCACAGGTTTGAGACCAGCTTAGGCAACAGAGTGAGACCTCATCTCTACAAAAAATTAAAAAAAAAAAAGTTAGCCAGGTGTGGTGACTTGTGCCTGTATCCCAGCTACTCAGGAGGCTGAGGTAGAAGGATCGCCTGAACCTGGGAGGTCCAGGCTTTGGGGAGCTGTGATCATACCACTGCACTCCAGTCTGGGCAACAGAATGAGACCAGACTCAAATAAACAAACATGTAGGGTGACTTCCAGGGGTTGCCGTGGTAATTGTAAACTGTCATGGCTCTGGTGGGTGTGTCTTCCAGCATATCAATGTGTTATGATTATCGTGTAATGAGCAAAAAGTATACAGGTAGAGATGCCATCTTAATCTCCACTGGTCTTAGCCAGTCTTCTCATTGCTTCCCACTATGTCCATGAGGTCTGGGGCCTGTGACCTTCATTGTGGAAACTAGTTCCCCATCTCAACTCCTGCTCCAGCCATCTCAGCAACTTCCTGCAGACTTTGGAGCCCACCCCAGGGAGGCTTTTAGCTCTGGGACCCTCACCCGCAGTGTTCTCAGGAGAGACTAGTCCTCAGCCTGAATCATGAATGAATCCTGAACGCCTGCCAACTTCGCAATCTAGCCCAGCATCCCTCCCTCACAGATGGGAATAAAATGCAATACAAAGTTGATTCATTTACTGGCTTCCTCTGGCAATGAGAAACCTTGAGTTGTTGCCGTGAGCTTTGATGAAGTTGTGATAACCCGGGCCATTTGCGCATAGACTTTTTTAAAGAACATAAAATTCCCTCCGCCTTTATTTAGCAGTGTTTCTGGGCCAAAAGATGCCCACCCCACACTTATCCAGGATGTTAATTCATTGCATCGTCATTTAAAAAATTATGTTGTTAATTACTGCTTTGTGTCTCCCCACCCCTGTCACAGCTTGGAGTTGTTTTATGCAATTAAATCTCTGTCTCTTGCCCGTTTCTCTTGTCATTTTATTTTCCTGAGATTTAGCAGTCAGCACACGCACGGGACATCTAAAGCTTCTATTTTTAATCTTTGCTTCACAGAGATAACCTCTTCCCGCCCATCTGCAGTAGAGCAGAAGAGCTCGTTTGTTTTCTGTTCTGCTCAAGGAATACCTGTGTACCCGTGAGGCTGGAATCCACCTGTCGGGCTCATGGTTGTGAGAGCATTTGGCACTCGGGGCCCAGCTGTTCCTACAGCTGTTCAGCTCCAAGAGCAGCTCCTCCAGAAGCCAAAGCTTCTCTAGGGAAGTGGGTCACACCTGCATATTGGGAAAGCATGATGCTGTCACCCACCGGCAGAGGAATCCTGCTAACCCTTGTCAAACACAACTTGGAAACGCCATGGGTAAATACCACTGTGGCCTCGAAAATTTAAAAAGAACATCCCGCCAGGTGCGGGAGCTCATGCCTGTAATCCCAGCACTTTGGGAGGCCAAGAGGGGAGGATGGCTTGAGGCCAGGAGTTTGAGGCCAGCCTGGGCAACACAGCAAGGCCTTGCCTCTACAAAATCAAAATAAAAAAATTAGCCAGTCGTGGTGGCTCAGGCCTGGAGTCCCAGCTACTCAGAGGGCTGAGGCGGGAGGATTGCCTAAACCCAGGAGGTCGAGGCTGAGGTGAGCCGGGATTGTGCCATTGCACTCCAGCCTGGGCGACAGTGAGACTCCGAGTCTAAAAAATAAAAGAACATCCTAACTTAACAATATCCTCTCTGTTTGCCTCCAGCTTTTAATTAATTCGGAGGGCAGTCTGCAGAGAGGAGAGTGGAAGGCACCATGGTTCCTGTACACCTGCATTTAAATGGCCGGCACTCCCCTGTGGGAGGCGAGGGAAGCGAACTGCTGAGGAATGTGCTCTGGTGCTTCTGGAAGAGACAGCATCCCCTCACCAGTGCCTCCCCAGCAGTCCCCTGCAGGATTTGGTGATGTGCTGCTGGTCATATCTAGAGCTGATAAACCAATGTGCAAATGCGTCTGTCATTCTGGCCTGGGCTATCCTGCAATTACAATCTACAGATTTCTTTTTTTTTGAGTTGGAGTCTCACTCTGTCGCCCAGGCTGGAGTGCAGCGGCACGCTCATGGCCATTCCAGTTTCAACCTACTGGGCTCCAGGAATCCTTCTGCCTCA